ACATGCTTGCCAGCATCTGTTGTTTCCTGGCTTTTTAGTGATTGCCATTCTAACTGGCATGAGATGGTATCTCATTGTGGTTTTGATTTGCATTTCTCTAATGACCAGTGACGATGAGCTTTTTCTCATATGTTTGTTGGCCACATAAATGTCTTCTTTTGAGAAGTGTCTGTTCATATCTTTTGCCCACTTTTTGATGGGGTTGTGGTTTTTTTCTTGTAAATTTGCTTAAGTTCCTTGCAGATTCTGGATATCAGACTTTTGTCAAATGGATAGATTACAAAAATTTTCTCCCATACTGTAGGTTGCCTATTCACTCTGATGATAGTTTCTTTTGCTGTGCAGCATTTGTCAATTTTGGCTTTTGTTGCAATTGCTTTTGGTGTTTTAGTCATGAAGTCTTTGTAAATTGGCATAATTTTTACAGAGAAAAAAAAGGTTTTTTCAAAGAAGCATGATTTAAAGCTAGAATTGAATATTTAGCTAAAATGTTTAATTTTTATTCATTGTTCATTTTAAAATTCTTTTTAGAGATGAGGTCTTGCTCTGTCACCCAGATTGAAGCCAGTGGTGCAATCACAGCTCCCTGCAACCTCAACCTCTGGGGCTCAAGGAATCCTCCCACCTCAGCCTCTTGAGTAGCTGGCATTACAGGCACTCACCATCATGCTTGGCTGATTTTTAAAAATCTATTTTTGTAGAGGTGAGATCTTACTATCTTACTATGTTGCCCAGGTTGATCTCAAACTCTAGCCCTCAAGCAATCCTCCCAGCTCAGCCCCTAAATTGCTGGGATTACAGGTGTGAGCCACTGTACCTGGCCTAAAATACTTTTGATAAATAAGAGTAAATTAAAATATTTTCCAAAGTGAAGTTTTTGAGAGATTTTATTACCAATAGAATCTTCTTTAGGGTACACTTCAAGAAGAAAGAAACATTTTCTGGTATTAAATTAAAATGAAAAAGTATAAGAGACTTAATATGGGGATATCAACTGTGGTAGACACTGAACTAAAGAAACTAAAAAGTCCTTGGTAGAATAGGTTTCAAAAGTATTTAGAGATAATAAAAGTATAATTCTTTATATTTCACTTAAATCAAATTTAAACATTTCAGTGGTACTTGAACAGTTTGACTGATGGCCGAAGACTCTTTTCTCAGAAAACATTTTTCATCGCTGACTTATTAAAAATTGATGGTATTTCTATTGCAATTTTGCATAATGTTGATTATTGTTTTATCGGAACTGATTTGCACCAAAGGACTAATAGTGGCATAGGCATTGAGCACAGCTCCCTGCATGCTCAGGACAAGGTATGGGTCATATGTCCATAGCAAGGTTAAAAAGATTGAGAAGATAAAGTCTACCCAGTGCATGACCACAAAGAAACTCACCAGCAGCAGGATGGTCTGGGTGGCCCTTTTCTCTGGGGAGGGTCTTGGAGAGGTGGGTGCTGTGGAGGTGCTGGGATTGCCTCCAATGCCTGGACAGGAGAATCACCATGTATGCACTCGAGAGCAGCATAAGTACTACACAGGACATCCTTGGACAATGTCACAGTGAAAAACACTCCCCTGATTGTGGAGTTCATGGGGGAAAGTGAGCAGTATTTACTGACATTCAGTAGCTTGATACGGGTCATGTTGGAAGAATGCACAGAGAAAAATATTAGCCAACTACTGAAGGACAAATTGAAGAACACCCCAAAAAAGAAAACATGCATAATGTAATTTGTAATTTGTAGATTTATGTTTAAACCTTGCCATCCAGGAGGTGCTGGGGCTGAGGCTGACGGCCTGGAGCGTGCTCAGAAGGCAGATGGTGCAGATGGAGAGGCCCCTCATTGCCCTGTTTGTGTAAAAAGGTGCCTTACACTTAAAGTCATTCCCAAAATGCAGTGATTCAAACATGTCTAGAGGCAAAAAATCAAGTGAGGGGCATCCGAATGTGAATGAGGGCCAGGTGACACATGAGTAAGTCACGGGGTTTAGGCCTGCAATTCAGAAGAGCGTAAGGGATGTGGAAGAAAAGGAGAAAGGTGTTGGCTGAGAATCCAACGCCAGCTTGAAAAACAAAGGCGTTTTTAACGATAACATAAGTAGAAAGCATTTTCATCTTAATGGTATAGAGGAAACATACTTTCTATATCTGGAATAAAAGAAACAATAGATCCCATTTTATCAATGTTTGTTGTTCAGTGTTCAAAATTGTTACCATCATCATCTTTTTCCCCACTTATTCTTTGTCAAGCCTGCATATGAATTCTTGGGAATCCAGTTTCTGCATTCTTTTCCACACCAAATCATTTATCCTTGTAAAACAATAAGACTTCTACAATCATGCAGTGCACAGTGCCTGTACTCCCACTATACCTGAGCCTCACTTTTTAGAAATCATATCCTTATTGTTCTACATTCTCTCCTATCACATTTAGCACCCAGAACAGTGATGGACAAACAAAATGACTCAGAAAAAGGGCCAGGCACAGTGGCTCATGCTTGTAATCCCAGTACTTTTGGAGACTGAGGTGGGAAGATTGCTTGAGGCCAGAAGTTCAAGACCAGCCTGGCAACATAGTGAGGTGCCATCTCTACAAAAAAATTAAAAAGTTAGTGAGACATTGTGGCATGCACCTGTAGTACAAGCTACCCAGGAGGCTGAGGTGGGAAGATTGCTTGAGCCCAGGAGGTCAAGGCTGCAGTGAGCCATGATTGCACTACTGCATTCCAACCTGGGCAATGGAATGAGACCCTATCTCATAACAAATACAAAAACAAATAAAATTACTCAAAGGTATTTATGCATTTAAATTAAATGAAAATTTATTCTAATATGAAAAGAATCACTAAAGCAAGCAATTGAAAAGCTATTCAGCTGAGTCATTCTCACATCTCATCACTTTGATACATTCTGTTCTCCATCCCTCTTCCACATTTCTGGACCCTTGTGATTATACTGGACCCATGGTGATAATTTGTGAAAATTTCACTATATTTCAACAGCAGACTAGCAATCTTGATCACATCTGCAATCTTATCTTTTCTTTGCCATAGAATTTAACGTATTCCCAGTATCTGGGGAATTAGTATGTGAACATCTTTGGAAGGTTTTATCTTGCTTTTCTGAACCTTTCTTAATGTATCACTTAAAAATGGTCCCAGCTTGGCCAGGCATGGTGGCTCACATCTGTAATCCCAGCACTTTGGGAGGCTGAGGCAGGCGGATCATGAGGTCAGGAGATCGAGACCATCCTGGCTAACACGGTGAAATCCCATCTCTACTAAAAATACAAAAAGTTAGCCGGGCTAAAAAAACACAGCTAATATTTGTATTTTGGGTAGAGATGGGGTTTCACCATGTTGGTCAGGCTGGTCTCAAACTCCTGACCTTGTGATTTGCCCGCCTCGGCCTCCCAAAGTGTTGGGATTACAGGCATGAGCCACTGCGCCCCGCCGAGATCTTACTTTGATGTAAAGTATCAAGCTATCCTGCTGTTGTGTTCCACCCCTCATTCTTCAGTCTCCTCTGCTGCTTCTATTCACAGCAGTGTTTGATTTCACACATTTATCAGTCAAGCACCCACTCGTTAGCAGTAGCCACTTATTTTTGGCCCTTGTGATATCCATCAAACACAATTTTAATCATAACTAAACATAACATTAACTTAATCATAATTATGACTACACATATATGATCCTCTTCCTTAACAAATAATACCTATTAAATTGTTAGATGATAACATCATGACATTTCTTCTTATAAATCTATGAATCTTAGCATAGGGCAGCAGCTCAGCCTGTTTAGGTCCAGCATAATGTGCTACTTTTCCTATTCTGATGAAATTTCTCCATTTGACCTCAGTCAGGGCCACCCAGCCCACAGACTTCTATTGTCCACAAATTTACTTTTTCCTGCTCTCTCTAACCCAGTCCAACATATCATTTGTTGCAATCAATATGACTTCATTTCTCAATCCAGTTGCCTTTGTTGGATCTTGATTTGTTTGCCTTCTTGCAAGTCTTTCAACTCCATTTGAAACTTTTTTCCCACTCCCCAAAGAAAAAAACTGTCAATCAAAAATTATATGCCTAAGAAAGCTATAGAACAACAATAAAGACAAAATATGCATCTGACTAAGGTCTACAAGCATCTGTAAGGAACTCAAATGAATTTGCAAGAGAAAAACAACTCCATTAAAAAGTGGTAAAGGATATAAACAGACATTTTTGAAATGAAGACATACAGGCTGGGTGCCACCTCATGCCTGTAATCCCAGTACTTTGGGAGGCCAAGGCAGGCAGATCACGAGTTCAGGAGATCAAGACCTGCCTGGCTAACACGGTGAAACCCCGTCTCTACTAAAAGTACAAAAAATTAGCCGGGCTTGGTGGCATGCGCCTGTAGTCCCAGCTACTCTGGAAGCTGAAGCAGGAGAATCACTTGAACCTGGGAGGCGGAGGTTGCAGTTAGCCAAGATCACACCACTGCACTCCAGCCTGGGTGACAGAACGAGACTCTGTCTCAAAAAACAACAACAAAAAAAGACACACATGCGGCCAAGAAGCATATGATAAAAAGCTCAATATCACTGATCATTAGAGAAATGCAAATCAAAATCACAATGAGACGCCATCTCACACCATTCAGAATGGCTAGTTACTATTAAAAGGTTAAAAAAAAATAACTGATGCTGGTGAAGTAGTGGAGAAAAGGGAAACACTTATACACTGTTAGTGAAAGTGTAAATTAGTTCAATCATTGTGGAAAGCTGTATCGCAATTTCTTAAAGAGTTAAAAGCAGAACCACCATTTGACACAGCGATCCCATTACTGGGTATATACCCAGAGGAATATACATTATTCTGCCATAAAGACACATGCATGTGAATGTTCACTGCAGCACTACTCACAATGGTAAAGATGTGGAATCAACCTAAATGTTCATCAATGACATTGGATACTAAAAATGTGGTACAGGCCGCATCCCCAGCCCACGGCCATGGCCGCCTACAAACTGGTGCTCATCCAGCATGGTGAGAGCACATGGAACCAGGACAACCGCTTCAGCGGCTGGTACCACGCTGACCTGAGCCCAGCGGGCCACAAGGAGGCGAAGCACAGAGGGCAGGCTCTGAAAGATGCTGGCTATGAGTTAGACATCTGCTTCACCTCAGTGCAGAAGAGAGCGATCCGGACCCTCTGGACAGTGCTAGATGCCATTGATCAGATGTGGCTGCCAGTGGTGAGGACCTGGCGCCTCAATGAGCGGCAATGTGGGGGTCTAACAGCTCTCAATAAAGCAGAAACTGCAGCAAAGCATGGTGAGGCCCAGGTGAAGATCTGGAGGCGCTCCTATGATGTCCCACCACCTCCGATGGAGCCCGACCACCCTTTCTACAGCAACATCAGTAAGCATCGCAGGTATGCAGACCTCACAAAAGATCAGCTACCCTCCTGTGAGAGTCTGAAGGACACTATTGCCAGAGCTCTGACCTTCTGGAATAAAGAAATAGTTCCCCAGATCAAGGAGAGGAAATGTGTACTGATTGCAGCCCATGGCAACAGCCTCCGGGGCATTGTCAAGCATCTGGAGGGTCTCTCTAAAGAGGCTATCATGGAGCTGAACCTGCTGACTGGTATTCCAATGTCTATGAATTGGACAAGAACTTGAAGCCTATCAAGCCCATGCAGTTCCTGGGGGATGAAGAAACAGTGGGCAAAGCCATGGAAGCTGTGGCTGCCCAGGGCAAGGCCAAGAAGTGAAGGCCAGCGGGGAGGATACTGTCCCCAGGAGCACCCTTCCTGCCCGTCTTGTCCCTCTGCCCCTCCCACCTGCACATGTCACACTGACCACATCTGTAGACATCTTGAGTTGTAGCTGCAGATGGGGACAAGTGGCTCCCATTTGCATTTTAGCCTTTTTTGTCTCCTGCACCCACTCCCTTCATACAATCTAGTCAGAATGGCACTTCTAGAGCATAGGTTCTCAGTCCAAGCTCTGGAAAAGCTCCCCTTAGCCAACAGAGTTTAAAGGTAGTGACTTGGGTTTTTGCGAGTTCTTTGTTTACTAAGGACTTGTGGGGAGGAACCATGCTAAGCCATGACCAATGAGGAGAAGCAACAGAGCCCGTCTGTCCCCAGGAGCCAGTCCTCTGCTCTTCTGCAGTCAGGCCACTGCCTGGGGACTCTAGTCATTCCAGTGGAAGATGAATGTAACCTGCATGGTGATATGACAACTGTTTCCTCACTGACACCAGAGGAGCTGGCTCTAGAAGTTTGGGATCAATCCTGAATTTAGTTATGTGTTACATTTACTTTTATTACAAAAAAAAGTATATATAATTAATGCAAAACAATAACCCTTCGGGGATCTCTTGTGGCGGTTGAAATAGTCCCACATGTGGTCCTCAGAAAATAAGCCATTCCTCATACCAGTGTGGGATCAGTTCCTTGACCTCTGAGGGGCAGGAGTGCTTCCTGCTGTGTGTGTGAGAATCCCTTCTTGCCCCGTTTCGTGGCAGTGAAACGCCCCTTGGTCCTGTCCAAGTGTGTCTTTCACTGATTTCTAAATCACGTTCTAGTTGCTTGGCCCTGCCACATGGGTCCAGTGTTCATCTGAGCATAACTGTACTAAATGCTTTTCCCAGATCACTATAATAAAGGAGGGATGTGCAGTAAAAAAAAAAAAAAAAAAAATGTGGTACATGCCCACCATGGAATATTATTTAAGCATAATAGAATGAGATCACATCATTTGCAAAGACATGGATGAAGCTGGAGGACATTATCTTTAGCAAACTAACACAGGAACAGAAAACCCAATACCGCATGGTCTCACTTAAAAGTGGGAGGTAGGCCGGGCACTGTGACTCACCCCTGTAATACCAGCACTTTGAGAGGCCAAGGCAGGAGGATCACCACCTGAGGCCAGGAGTTTGAGACCAGCCTGGCCAACATGGGGAAATCCCATCTCTACTAAAAATACAAAATTAGCCTGGTGTGGTGGTGGACACCTGTAATCCCAGCTACTCTGGAGGCTGAGGCAGGAGAATCGCTTGAACCCAGGAGGCAGAGGTTGCAGTGAGCTGAGATCACGCCACTGCACTCCAGCCTGGGTAACAGAGTGAGACTCTGTCTGAAAAAAAAAAAAAAAAGTGGGAGGTGAATTACGAGAACTCATGAACTCATGAAGAAAGACGTTTCCCAGACACTGGGATATATACTTGAATGTGGAAGGTGGGAGGAGGAAGAGAAGCAGAAAAGGTAACTATTGAGTACTGGGCTTAATGTCTGGGTGATGAAAAAATCTGTACAACAAAGCCTCATGACATGAGTTTGCCTATATAACAAACCTTCACATGTACCTCCAAATTGAAAATAATTTTTTAAAAATATCAGCATTAACTATAGCAATTAGAGTCATAATCTTTTATAACACAAGAAATTTTGAGTAATTTGTTAATTGTTCCGAAGGCTTATTCTCACACAATATTCTTTCTGATTATTTCTTGTTAACTGCAGAGAAACAGTAGAAATGTGAGATACTAAAAATTAAAAATAAATACATTGAAAAACACAAATTCTCAAAAAAGTTAAGAAAAAATAAAATATAGAAATAGCTCTACATAGAAATAAATGTAACATATTAATAGATCTATAACAAAGAAAGAGATCAAATTAATTAGAACCTTTACACAAATAAAAGCCCCAGGACAAATGGCTTAACCGGTAAATTCTATTAAGCATTCAATAAAGAATTAATACTGGGCCGGGGGTGGTGGCTCACACCTGTAATCCCAGCACTTTGGGAGGCTGAGGTGGATGGATCACCTGAGGTCTGGAGTTCAAGACCAGCCTGACCAACATGGAGAAACCCCGTCTCTACTAAAAATATAAAATTAGCCAAGTGTGGTAGTGCATGCCTGTAATCCCAGCTATTTGGGAAGCTGAGGCAGAAGAATCGCTTGAATCCGGGAGGTGGAGGTTGCAGTGAGCCGAGATCACACCATTGCACTCCAGCCTCGGCAACAAGAGTAAAATTCTGTCTCAAATAATAATAATTATTATTATTATATTATATTAATTAATTATATATTAAATAATTATATATTATATTAATAATTATTAATAATTATTAACTTTTCACAAATACTTCCAAAAAATTGAATCAGTGAAAACATTTCCCAAGTCATTCTATCAGATCAGTATTACTATGATTCCAAAATCAAACAGAAACTTTACTAGATAAAAAATGACTTATCTTTATCCTTCATGCATACAGACACTAAGATTCTAAAACAAAAACAAAAAAAACTAGCAAACTGAATCTGAATCTAGCAAAATGTGAAACTCATTAAACACCATTGTCAAATGGGATTATTTTGCAAATGTGATGTTGGCTTAAAAATCTAAAAATCAAACAATCTTCTAGTTTAGAAAATAAGTAGAACCATATTCTATTACAAACTTACATAATCATCTATATTAGCATGGTATTCCCCAAAAACCCACTAGAACTGATAAACAAGCTCACCAGGGTCACAAGATACAAAAACAACCTGTAAGACTGAATTGTACTTTTATATGAGACCAATGAAAAATCTGAAAGTAAGCAATTCTTTTAATAACAGCATCAAAGAAAGAAACATTTAGAAATAAATCTGCCGAGTACGGTGGCTCACGCCTCTAATCCCAGCACTTTGGGAGGCCAAGACAGGTGGATCATCTGAGGTCAGCAGTTTGAGACCAGCCTGGGCAACATGGAGAAACCTCATCTCTACCAAAAATACAAAAATTAGCCAAGTGTCGTGGCACGCGCCTGTAGTCCCAGCTACTCAGGATGCTGAGGTGAGAGGATCACCTGAGCCCTGGAGGTGGAGGCTGCAGTGAGCCAAGATGGCACCGCTGCACTTCAGCCTGGGTGACAGGGCAAGACCCTGTCTAAACAAACAAACAAAAACTACAATGAGATAATAGTTATTGCTCAATAGATTACTACATCTAAAAGATAGTAACAAGTGTTGACTAAAGTGTGAAGAATACGAAATCCTCACACATTGTTGATGAGAATTAAAATAGTGCAGCCAACACGTGAGAAAAAGGCAATTCCTCATAAAGTTATACATGGTTTTACATATGACTCAGAAATCCCACCCTCAGGTAAATACCCAAAAGAATGGAAATCTGCAGCACTCAAAGATTCATATGTGAATGCTTACATCAGCACTCTTCGTATAGCCAAAATGAATAGAATCCAAATATCCATCGACTAGTGGAAGAAAAATTAGTATGTGCCATAGCCATACAGCAGAGTATTACTCACTAATCAAAAGGAACAAAGCAGTGATGCATACTACAACAGGAATGAACCTCTAAAACGTTAAGCCAAGTGAAAGAAATCAGACCCAAAAGACTACTTAATTAATTATTTCACTTATAAGAAATTTTTATAAAAGACTCACCTTTAGAAACAGAAAATAGATTGATGATTGTCTACGGTTGGGACAGTAATGGGGAGTGAATGCGAATTGACTAAAATTTTCTTTAAGGGAAAATGACCCGCTGGGGAGCCAAAATGCTGAGTGGGTGCAAGGAGGAACATCTTCCACTGGGAGACCAAGACATCAGGAAGATAGGCACACTTTGAGCCGATCTTTGGAGGGAAGGCATTGAGAGTAGACGGAGGGAGAACACAGATGCTGGGCTGAAGCGGGAGGATGCTGGGAACCCTGAACAGGGTTGCTGAGCATTGGAACTCATTCCTGGCCCCCGGTGACTCTTGGAGAAGGGGTGGATTGAGCAGGTGAGGAGTGACCCACTCTCACGGCAAACCTCTGAAATTCTAGAAGCAGGAGGTCCTACAACCCCCACAGACACGTGAGCTGGCAGAGAGAGCTGCTTAGATAGGAGGCAAGGGCTGGACTCTAGCCTGTGCAGAACCCAGAGGGGTTGGCATGGAAATAGCTGCAGTGGGCCACGACCAAGGATGCCCATCCACCAAGGTTTGTCATGCCCTTCTAGGAGACTTTAGTCTTGGAGTAACTGTCATACCTGGACAGGGCAAGGCAGTCTTGCAGTGGAATGGACCAGTCTGACTTGAGCAGCCTCCTGTCTGCTGTCCTCTCCTGAGGGCCCAGCATGGCTGCACCCATTTGCAGCACAGCCTCAGATGCCTAATCAGGGTGCTTCCCTGGGGCCCTCATCATAGCTCCTTCACTGGAAGACTGCGCCTGACTGTTGGACAGCTCCAGCAGACTGACCACTGCCAACATGTACGAGCCCACTCACAGATAACCCCCACTACAGCCTCCGCCTACTGCTTTGCTGGTATGAACTCACCCAAGAACATCCTCTCCCCGCGACTGCTTTGCTGATGTGCTTGCATGTGGGTGGACCTTGCCTCCCCCACTGGGGCACATGAGCACATACACCCCACAGCACTTGACCACCGCCATTGTGAGGGCACCCCAACACCCTTCCCCTGCTGATGGGTGGGCACCCTGCTCTGCCACTGCCATTGGCATGAAAACACACACAAATGCCCACAACTGTGCCTCTGCTGCTGCTGGCACAAACGCATTCACAAACACCAGCAATCCACCCCTACTACACCACTGCCATTGCAGGCATGAACACACACACAAACACTAACAAGCCTGCCCTCACCGGTGCCCTGCCACTGCTACT